TTTTTTTTTTTTTTTTTTTTGAGACGGAGTCTCGCTCTGTCGCCCAGGCTGGAGTGCAGTGGCGCGATCTCGGCTCACCGCAAGCTCCGCCTGCCGGGTTTATGCCATTCTCCTGCCTCAGCCTCCCGAGTAGCTGGGACTACGCCGGCTAATTTTTTGTATTTTTAGTAGAGATGAGGTTTCACTGCGTTAGCCAGGATGATCTCGATCTCCTGACCTCGTCATCTGCCCGCCTCGGCCTCCCAAAGTGCTGGGATTACAGGTGTGAGCCACCGCGCCCGGCCAGAAAGCACCTTTTAATCTCTACCACTGCCAAGTTTGTGAGTAGACTGGAAAGACCGTGGGCTTCAGAATCAAGTGGCCATGGATAAAAATTGTGTCTGAGAGACTTTCAAGGAGTTACTTAGCCTTTCTGAGCTTTTTGCTCCGTGATGAGTATAGCAGTGATAATAACATCAACCCTACAATATTACGTTATGGAATTAAATGTCGGTGAAAGTGTCTTGCTCGTTGCTCAGTAATGATTCATGTCCCCCCTTCCCTTCTTAATTCAGATTTATTTACATATGTTCAATAGAGCCATAAATATTTGTGATTCTGTTTTTCTAGTACCTGGTTCTAGTTATTCCAGGTTTTTATACAGGCACAAAAGCCCTTTTCTTCTACACTGGTTTCCCTAAGAGGAGTTACCTTGACCTAAAAAATAAGGAAAGCACCAACCATAAAACCCTGCTTTTCTTGGTCAGTGAGGTGCATTTTAAAAAATAAACATTCTACATAAGCTGTTATTCTGGAAAACTGGAATTTCACTGGCAATCCCTGATCCATTTATGCACACCAGCTAGGCAGAAGCTGGTAATATGAAGGTAGAGCTGAGTCAGAATCAGAATTGGTGACTGGGATGAGGGGCGGAAGACAACTACAGATATAAGAACCGGGAAAATGAGTTGCTTAACACTGATTAACGGCCATGCTTGTCATACTCATTAAAAGCATTAACTCCTGATTTAAGTTATTTTAAAAATATATTTATGCTAATGTGCTAAAGTTTTTGTACTAACAAAATCAAATTTCATCTTTCTGGAATATTTCAGGGCCAAGGTAATGCTAAAAGTTTTTAGATAGGGGCTAAAGAAAGGGAGCTCAGGCCTGACAGTCTCGGGATACAGGATGAATAGAAAATGGGGGGAGCTGAACGAGCAGAGACTGCAAAGGTTGGGACCAGGGTGTAAGCATGGGGTTCACGTTCACAGTCCCATTATTAACAACCCTGAGCAGTACCACTGCTGCCCAAGCAATCAGGAAAGCTCCGGGCCAAAAATGCAAATCCTTCTTTATTTCCCAGACCTGGAATTCCCATTCAACTGATTTTCTGGAAAAACAAAGTTTCATTTTACATCGTCACAGTGATTTTCTTGAGAATATAATGCCAAGAGTACAGTTTCAAGATCATCTTGTTGTCTAACTCCTGGTTCCTTATAAATAAATAAGTAAGAACTGCTGAACTACTAAGAGCAAAGGCAGCCACTAGACTCCTGGAAGTTACCGTTAACAACAACAACAACAGAAACAAAAAACTGTCCCCCAGGCATTTCTCTGTTGCACTGAAAGAAAGAAAAACTCCCAAGGGAAATAGAAACCTAAAAACCTTGGAAAATAATTCTATTTTAACACAGATCAATGACTAAATAGAGAATTAATCAAAGGAACAAAGTATTTTCCTAAAACAAAGAAACAAAACCTGGATTTAGGTGAATTGGTATTTATTCAGAATGATTTTTAATGTTTTTATTCTAAAACTTCCAAAAATTCCCTCTGGTATAGGAGTCATTGAAATAGTTGTAGATCATGGTATAGTTGGTGAGGGGTTGCTGGGTTTTATTTAAAGTGCTATTCAAAACTTAACATATAGGTTTCATTCAAAGTTTAAGAAGAAAAAAAATGAACAACCAGAAACAAGGGTAAGATGTGGGGATATGGATAGATATTTTATACTTAAGACTTCTGCATCCCAAAATATCAGCTTGTGATGGAATTCTGTCATCTATTCTTGCTTCAGTCAAAACAAACAAACAAACACAGTCAAAACAGTATCAACAATAATCATGTAGTGCCACCAAAAGCTTTTCATTCATTCAGCGAGCATTGAGTCCCTAGCTGGAGATGCAAAGAGGAGCAAGAAATATCCTCTTCCACTGAGAAGCTCATTGTCTAATGTAGAATGTAGATAAGCAACCAGACATTCAGAATGACCTGTGTTACGAGCAATAATAAAGCTGGACACTGGGTACTATGGGGGCACTTGGGAAGGGTGCCTAAGCCAGAGAGCTTCACTGGGGAGCCTTGATGTCTGAGTAAGAATTAACCAGGTGAAGCAGAAGGGGAAATAAACTCTAGGAACAAACAGAGAGTTTCGAGTGCACAGGCAGGCAGAGTGTGAGGAGGGAAGGCCTTACTTCTTTGTGACTGCAGCATGAAAGTAAGGGGAGGGCTGGATGTCCTAATTAATCTTGAATTAGCAAATAATAAGTATTACTTTTCTCTATTTTTTAAAAAAACTTAGTTCCTTAATTGCACCCAAAATTTATCTGTTGAGATAAAGTAACTTCATTCCTAGTTCTAATTAGTTGCTTAAATAATTGTTATCCTTGGAGAGCAGTAAATGACAAATGGACATTAAAAATTTTGTACAAATGTCAGTTGCAGTTTGTTCATAAATCATGTAGCAATTACCTGCCTTGTCTGATTAACATATACTTGAGGGAGGATGGAAAGTGCTGAATGTCTGAAGGTAAATCAACTCTTCCTCTGGGAGGTGAGTTTATTCTTTTTTGAAACCTAGGGGTATTTTGTGTCTGGACACAGTTTGGGAGGAAGTGGTATGGAGTACCTAGAGAAGCCCTTCTCTATGGGTGAACTCTTACTTCTTTTCTTTTCTTTTTTTTTGAGACAAAGTTTTGCTCTTGTTGCCCAGGCTGGGGTGCAATGGTGCAATCTCAGTTCACTGCAACCTCCACCTCCTGGATTCAAGTGATTCTACTGCCTCAGCCTCCCAAGTAGCTGAGATTACAGGCATGTGCCACCACACCTAGCTAATTTTTTGTATTTAGTAGAGACGGGGTTTCATCATGTTGGTCAGGCTGGTGTCGAACTCCTGACCTCAGGTGATCCACACACCTTGGCCTCCCAAAGTGCTGGGATTACAGGCGTAAGCCACCACACCTGGCCTCTTACTTCTTTTCTCTGATGTACTCTCGGGCTCTTTTGCTACCTCAGACTGCACTATGACCTGTCAGGTGTTAGAGAGATCAGCAGTGGAGAAGGTCCAGGAAACAGTCTGGAATCAAAAGGGGTCTGCCTCTCTCCTGGACATATCAAATATGAAAGCATCACATTTACCAAGAGACAACACCATAAGAGGGTAACTGACAGAAACCAATTCCATCCTGAAAATGCTCTGAGGCTTTAAACATACTTTATTGTCTAGACTTTGGGCCTCAGAGTACACCTGCTTTTTCTCCCACTATCCTGGACTCTAAAATTTTTCTCTGTACCAATTTAGCAAACCTCCATTTATTAGCAACTTTAACCTCCAGATCCTTTAGATGACTTTCATTCTTCTTTGTCCTGGATATTTTTACATGACAGACAAAAATATCTATTCTCAGAGCTGGAGGAGATAAAAATATTTGCCCTGAAGGGAACAAACTCTTGATTTAGCTAAAACTTTTTAAAGAGTTTATATTAAATATAAATACAGTATTATATAAAATTATAATGTGACAAATTCATTGTGAAATAGTCCATCTTTCTGTTGTAATACTTTTTATGTAGTTTTTTTGTTTTTTGTTTTTTTTAAAGGTAAGCTTAGTAAAATGGAGCAGTAGAATAAATAAGCAGAAAACAAACTTAGAATAAGACCTGAGCTGTGTCCTAAGATGAAAGTGGTTTCTGCTGGTTGGCAAGAAGAGAAAAATCCTAGACATTATTTCTCTTGCATCATAGGACAGTAAGGAAAGTGTGTCTCAGTCAAATAAGTCAAGAGACTGTCACCTTCTGCTAGATATTGGAGCAATTCTTATTCTTCATCAGTTCTTCCCCCCACCCCCTTTTTTTTTTTTGAGACAGAGTTTCACTCCTGTTGCCCAGGTTGGAGTGCAATGGCACAATCTCGGCTCATTGCAACCTTTGCCTCCCAGGTTCAAGCGATTCTCCCCAGGTTCAAGTGATTCTCCTGCCTCAGTCTCCCAAGTAGCTGGCACCTGTTACCATACCCAGCTAATCTTTGTATTTTTAGTAGAGATGGGGTTTCGCCATGTTGGCCAGGCTGGTCTCGAACTCCTGGCCTCAGGTGATCCACTAGCCTCAGCTTCCCAAAGTCCTGGGATTACAGGCGTGAGCCACCGCACCCAGCCACTAGTTCTTTTTTAAGAATCATTTGATTAAGTGATGTTAAACACTCCCTAATACTGCAATAAGTGTTTTATATAACTATTCAACTTCACAACTATAAAATGGGCCCATTTTACAAATGAAGGACCTGGGGCTCAGAGAGGAAAAGGAAGTTGCTCAAAGTCACACAGGTAGTTACTGGTGGAGCTACACCAGACTCATGTCAGTCTGAACTGAAAATTTTTCTTCTGAACTTTTATTCTATACATTCTACTTGCTTTATCTAGTGACAATGCTAAGTTCATTAAGATCTGAGAAACCACTTCCATGTATAGTATTCCCAAGTACCTCACAATCCTACACAATTCCACAAAATGTTTAAGAATTTTCTATCCCCTTTCTCTTTTAGCAATATATTCCCCACCAGAACTAGCAGACAAGGTAGCTAAAGCTAGCACCATTTCAAAACATTTGCTTCAAAAGTGTTTCACTTCATCATCTCATTAATAGCTACAAAGAATCAAAGAGAACAACATTCTACCCGCCCCTTGATCCCTTTATTAGACCAACTTACTCAAGGGAATCAATGATTTTTTTTGGCTCCACAGGACACGGATAGATAACTTCATCGATGTGCTTCAGGTTACAATTTGAATAGGCAGTAGAGATATGTATAAAGGCTTCCAGCTTTGGCATCTGACTAGCCATAAGCAAGAGTTGCCGGGTGGCAGTGACGTTAAGTTGCACAGCATGTCTAGAGAAGATTAAGTAGAAGGAAATACAATGAGGTAAGTCAGCATCATGCCTTGCTATAACTGTACCTACTCCAATAACTGGCATACCTATCAGATTTTGGTGGCTGCACCAAACACTAGGGAGAGAAGGATGGGTCATGGCTACACAGTTATGTGATACTCGGAATGTTTTATGTAGTGATGATGTGTTTTGTGCACATAAATCCTATTCACTGACACACTGTACATATATCTAGAGGACAGTTGGTTCTAATCAACTGAAAAAAGAATTACAATCCTCTGAATTTGTAAAGGTGCTTCTATAGGCAGCCATTAAAAGAACAAAAACATGTAAATTAAGCATCTAACTGAAGAAGTTGGAAAATATAAATACACTTGAGGGGAGCAACAGTAGAATTTTTAAATGAGCAATGTAAGTTGGTAAAGGTCCAGGCCAGACATGAAAATTGGTGTCAAAATCTAAAATTGCAGCTAGTAGAATACAAAGCTATATAAACAGTATGTGATAACAATGAAATAGTTCATTCCAGGAATACATGGTTTATCCAATACCAGGAAACTTACTAATTTAATTTAACTCAAAAGAGAAAAACTATATAAGAATATATATGTATTTTGAAAAGTTTAAAACGATGTTTAATTTCCATTTCCAATTTAATTAAACAAATTCACTAGAATAGGAATAAAATGATTAAGCAACATATATTTAAATTTGCTAGCCAATATCATTCTTAATGGTGAAAAGCTAGGAGCACTGCTTGTAACATCTGTGGTGGGAATAATGCCTACAATCACACTGCTACTTAACATTGTTCTGAAGTCCTAGTCCTGTGATTAATTAGAAAGAAAAATAAAATTAAAGAACAGATACAGATACTAAAAAGACAGCCACAAAAATTACTGTCGGATTATATAATTGCATACCTGGAAAATAGAAGCAGCTTTTAAAAAAGCTGAAATGTACTATAATTCAGTTAGGTGTCCACTGATAAAAATTATGTAAAAAATCACTAGCTTGCCTGTATATAAATAAAAATTAGAGAATAAAAGGGAAGAAATGTTCAAAGTTGAACATTTAAAATATATGAAATTCATCATAAATGAATATATAATGACAAAAAACAAATAACAAAAAATTGAATAAATGAGAAAACATATATTGTTTTTGGATAGGAAGAATCAATATTTTAAATATGCTAAATGTTTTTAAAGTATTCTACATATACAAGGTAATTCTAATCAAACTCCCAAGATTTTTAAAAACTTGGCAAAATTATCTTAAATTTAATCAAGAAGTATATGCAAAGAGAACAGTTACGAAAATTCTATAAAAATGAAAGTGCGGCTGGGTGCGGAAACTCACGCCTATAATCCCAGCACTTTAGGAGGCTGAGGCAGGTGGATCACCTGAGGTCAGGAGTTCGAGACCAGCCTGGCCATGATTGTGAAACCCTGTCTCTACCAAAAATACAAAAATTATCTGGGCATGGTGGTACATGCCTGTAGTTCCAGCTACACGGGAGGCTGAGGCAAGAGAATCACTTGAACCCAGGAGGTGAAGGTTAAAGTGAGCCGGGATCATGCCACTGCACTCCACCTGGGCAACAGAGCGAGACTCCGTCTCAAAAAAAAAAAAAAAAAAATAGAGTGCTGTGAGTATACTTGCTCTAATATAATAAAAATTACAGTAATTAAAATGATACAGTACTGGAAGTGAAAGCCTGATTTAATGTAACAAAATACTTTAAAAACTGAAATTTAGTTTAAGAGCTTTATATCAGATAAAGAGTAAAAATATTTAACAATTTTTTAAACAAATATTGTTTAAAAGTAACCACATGGCACACAAAAAAAATAAAGCTGCTTTACTTTCACATCTGCATCACTCTCCTTACAGAATTTTCCTATACTCCTCCTTCTAGGTAAATACTTTATAAATGGATCAAATATCTAAATGTGAAAATGAAACCATAAAAATACTAGGGGAAATTATAAATAACTGCATACATAATAGACTTGAAAGACATTTGATAAATTGTTAAAATAGTTTGAGCCTTATAAAAGATGAAGAGTTTAATGGCCGGGTGCAGTGGCTCACGCCTGTAATACCAGCACTTGGGAGGCCAAAGCGGGTGGATTACCTGAGGTCAGGAGTTCGAGACCAGCCTGGCCAACATGATGAAACCCCGTCTCTACTAAAAATACAAAAGTATTAGCCGGGCGTGGTGGCGGGCACCCATAATCCCAACTACTCAGGAGGCTCAGGCAGGAGAATCGCTTGAACCCAGAAGGCAGAGGTTGTAGTGAGCCAAGATCCTGCCATTGCACTCCAACCTGGGCAACAAGAGCGAAACTCTGTCTCAAAAAAAAAAAAAAAAAAAAAATTACAATGCTGAAACTTTCAAGAAGTCTTAATATTAATAAGAAAAAAATGTTTCAATAGAAAAATAGGTGGGCCGGGCCCAGTGGCTCAGGGCTGGGCGCGGTGGCTCACGCCTGTAATCCCAGCACTTTGGGAGGCCGAGGCTGGCAGATCGCGAGGTCAGGAGATCGAGACCATCCTGGCTACCATGGAGAAACACTGTCTCTACTAAAAATACAAAAAATTAGCTGGCCGTGGCGGCGGGCACCTGTAGTCCCAGCTACGCAGGAGGCTGAGGGAAGAGAGTGGCGTGAACCCGGGAGGTGGAGCTTGCAGTGAGCCGAGATCGCACCACTGCACTCCAGCCTGGGCGACAGAGCGAGACTCCGTCTCAAAAAAAAAAAAAAGAAAAAGAAAAAGAAAAAAAAAAAAAGAAAAATAGGCAAAGAAAGCAAAGAACATGAATAGGCATTTCACAAAGAACAAAATGCCTATAAGCATTTAAATATCATTAGCGTTTGTAATCATCAAAGAAATACAAATCAGAACATGTGCTACCGTTTCCATTATCCTATTAGCAACATTAAAAATAATTTTAAAATTATAGTATTATTTTGTGACTGTAAAAATGAGCATTCATGTGCACAGAGACAGTGTAAGCAAACACCACATTTTTGGAGAGCAATTTAGCATTATGTGTGAAAATGCAAACTGTTCATAACCTGGGTACATCTGATATGTATCTGATAATTGTATTTCTAGGAATTTATCTCAAGAAGAGCACACAAAGGGGTGAAAAATATACATGCATACAGATGTTCACTGCAGTGTTGTTTATAATAGTGAAAAATTAAAACAATCCAAATGTTCACCAACATAGAACTGGTTGAATATATTATACATATGTTCAATGGAATGTCATGTAATCATTACAAATTATAATAGAATATTTATTGACAATGATAGATATCAAAAAATATAACTGAGCAGGTTGCTAAAGATCATCCTCGCTAGGATGCCATTTTCTTCCAGTAAAATTGAACATACACCTATGTAATCATAGATACATAAAGAAAAATTGGAGTGAATGTTCTCCACAATAGTAAATGGTTGTTTCTAGATGGTGGGATTTGGGAGGAGTTTTGCTTCTTTGTATGTTTTTTTGTTGTTGTTGAGAGTGTATTTCTTTTTTTTTTTTCTTTACAGAAACTATGAAGAAATTTACATGCACACAAATGTATACAAACCATGAGAGGGAAATGGGAATGTACCTGAGAGTGTCATCAAAGCGTACAGTGGCTGCACAGTGAAAGATTATGTTTGTACAGGAGAGAAGCTCCTGCATGTCCTCTTTGCTGATGGCAAAGTCATTCTGACTGAGATCTGCATAAATAGCTCTGATCTTCTCATGCACATTTGGACAAACTTCTTTGACTTTCTCAAATAGCTGAAACATAAATATAGATCAATATACAAAAAATAGCATCATCATTATCACATTGTTCTTGTTTACAACAACCTGTTTAATTTTACTCAAAAACTGGTTTTAGTTGTAATAATATTACTTAAAGAAGACATCTGGCTGGGTGTGGTGGCTCATGCCTGTAATCTCAACACTCTGGGAAGCCAAAGTAGGAAGATTACTTGAGCCCAGGAGTTTGACACCAGCCTAGGCCACATGGTAAAAACCTGTCTCTACTAAGAATACAAAAAATTAGCCAGGCATGGTGGTGGGTGCCTGTAGTCCCAGCTACTTGGGAGGCTGAGGTGGGAGGATCCCTTGATCCCAAGTGGTGGAGGCTGGAGTGAGCCTTGATTGCAACACTGCATTCCAGCCTGGGTGACAGAGCAAGACCCTGTCTCAAAAAAAAAAAAAAAAATTTTACTCAAGAACCATCTACTTTATTTCATACAATTCAGCCAGTTTAGTGTAATTCCTGCTACATTTCATGTGAGAAACGTTTGAAAAATCAGTTCCAATAATCAGTAAGGTGCGCATTTTGAACTTTTCCTGCAGGGTGAAAAAGTGAGAGTAAGTCATCCACATCCTGCCTTTATACTCTTTTCCCCTTTAAGCCAGCTTTATATTTACATATGGTAATAGTTTCCATTTTTGACTGAGAATAAGTGTTTCCAGTAAAAAATTACCAGCCTCTACAAAGCCTTTACAAATTACAAGCAAAATTACCAACAGCTTGGTTAACTGAACCAAATTAACAAAATATCTTAGCAGCACAAACATAATTAGAAAATAACAAATAACAAATGAAGCAAATTTGTAATAGGTGAAACATATAAAAATGTTATGTAATCTCATTCTAATATAAATGGCAATTATTGTCTAGTAAGTACACGAGCTCATGTATTTTTTATGGGATATTAATTGATTTTTAAAATATTCTAATTTATTCATAATGGAGAAAAGGAAGAGCAGTGGCCATTTTAGCTCTAGTTACACTTACTCAGATAGAATAGATTCAGTACTTTCCCCTCCACACAGAAATTCTTAGATTAAATTGGCATTTCCCATGTTTTCAAGAAATATGATTTTAATAAAATGATCTTGGTTCCAACCTATTTTGATTAAATGGAATTTTACTTAGTGTTGGTGTGGCATATTAACAGTGAGAAAACAAAAAGTAAAGCTAAATGTTTAGAAAATTTAGGAGCAGAGAAAATTAGCCTGTGGTTTTAATCATAATATAGTAAAAGAGACAGTCCTCTTCTCTCCCTTAAGCCCTAAACAGTATTTTTACCTATTCCTTGATCCTTAGTCACAGGATTAAGAGAGATCTATCCATTAGAGATGTACCCCAGGCTGTTTTTATTGGGTAATAAAAAGTTGATCTCAGGTAGTCAGAGAAACCATATCTCATTTGTATCAGACAAGAGCATGTTCAGAAGCCATTCTGAGGATTTAATGAAGATGTCTAGTAAAGGGATGAAATCCACATATTGATCTGTCACGTTAACATACTTCAATTCTGTCTACTATTTTTCTGCACTGTAGCGGCAGCCTTTTCAGTGGTGTGTTACTGCAATTCTGAAAATAATTTGTAAGTTAGGTCAGTCCTCAGTGCTTTTGACATCTGGGATTGATAAGGTTGATAAAGTGTCCTGGGCACATTCTCAACAAAGAGGTCATTCTGACTCTTCCAGAAAGATCTTTAATAGTTTTTTTTAATATTAATCAATCAAAAACATGCTAAATGTTTTTTTCTAGAGTCAGATGTTTTCCCTCTTGATAGTTAACGTTAATTGTACAACAAACATGTTGAATAGTTTTGGATAAGCTTATCTAAAATTTGTATAATTTTCTCTTTTTTGATAACTAATTTGGAGAAGACTCTTTTTGAGTCTACATGATATATTTTATGTATTCACATGATATTCACTAGAAATTTACTTGGGGTTCTGTGGATTCTTTCACTTTGGACTGTGAAGACTTCTGACTACCGGAGAGCAAGAAGTAGGAAATGCTTTCAGCATCCACCCTTCTCACAATGGAGTTCCTTACATAGGATGTAAGTTGTCATATTTAGATCTCCTTTTGCCTTTGGTTTTTACGACTTTAAAAGACAGAATATACTGCTATTCCACATTATACTTTCAGACAACCTTTGCAATGTTGAACAGCACCAAGATCTCATATTTGCATTACTTTTCATGAGATCATTACAGTTTTAGGAAATAATGTTCCAATCTGTGTTGTATCTATTGAATTGTATTTTCAATCAAGAATGCATATCTGAATGAACATAGTGCAGGTTTTTAAAAGTCTGAGTTTTCTGATTTAGATAGTAGTTGATAATGTTCCATTGAAATAAATCAATGAATTGGCTGCATCAATTCAAACCACAGTGCTAAATGAGGATTCCATTTTACTACATTAGCCTTGCTTAATAATAGGACTTGCCCTGTCAGGAATCTCACCATACCGCTATAGCTCCTGAAATAATACTCTTTAATAGTGCCACATCCTGAATAGAGTGACAGAGATGGCAGACAACTGCAATCCAACAGGTCAGTGGTTTTCGTCTTTTCATAACGCTATCCACAAAGTGAACTGCATTGGAATCACTAGTAGCATAATTAAAATGTATATTCCTGGGTCCTATCCCATACCCACTAAATAAGAAATTACTAGGGCACAACCAGGAATCTATATTTCAGGCCAAGTCCCCCAGTTGATTTTAAGACATACAAATGATGAGAATTTCTCCATTTAGAGTGCTAACACGGACAACGGCAGATGAATAACTGCATATGACTCATTTTCCTTTATAACTGCCCAGAGCAATCTTCACATCAGTAGCTTGCAAACTGTAGGCATGAAGAATCAAGGAACCTGGTTAAAAATTATTTTTTTATTCCATCCTCAGAGATCCTGGCTCGGTAGTTTTGTGTGTAACCCAGGAAACTATATTTCTTAACCACCTCCGCAGGTGGATCTGATGGTCCAGGTACCATAATTGGGAAACACTGACTCTGAAAAATTCATGTCTGTTCTTAAATTCAGGGCTTATATTTCCCCCTCTAGTTTGTAAACTCCTTGATTCTTTTTTTTCTTTTGTAGGGAAACTCTTTCTAATTTTTTTAAATGTTTGTGGGTACATAGTAGGTATATATATATATATGGGGTACATGAGATATTTTTATACAGGTACACAATATGAAATAAGCACATCATGGAGAAGGGGGTATCTATCCCTTCAAGCATTTATCTTTGAATTACAAGCAATCCAATTATACTCTTTACATTATTTTAAAATGTACCATTATTATTGACTATAGTCACCCGATTGTGCTATCAAATAGTAGGTCTTATTAATTCTTCTATTTTTTGTCACCCTTTACCATTCTCATCTCTCCCCTCCCACTTGCCTTCCCAGCCTCTGGTAATCATCCTTCTACTTTTTATGTCCATGAGTTCAATTGTTATGATTTTTGTATCTGACAAATAAGTGAAAACATGCAATGGTTGTCTTTCTGTGCCTGGTTCATTTCACTTAGCCTAATGACCTCCAGTTCCATCCATGTTGTTGAATCCCATTCTTTTTGATAGCTGAGTAATACTCCATTGTGTATATGTACCACATTTTCTTTATCCATTCATCTGTTGATGGACACTTAGGTGGCTTCCAAATCTTAGCTATTGTGAGCAGTACTGTAACAAACATGGGAGTGCAGATATCTCTTTGATATACTGATTGCCTTTCTTTAGGGTATATACCTTGCAGTGGGACTGCTGGATCATACAGTATTTCTTTGTTTTTGTTTTTTGTTTTTTTTCAGAGTCTCACCCAGGCTGGAGGGCAGTGGCATGATCTTGGTTCACTCCAACCTTCACCTCCCAAGTTCAAGTGATTCTCTTGCCTCAGCCTCCTGAGTAGCTGGGATTACAAGCATGTACCAACATGCCTGGCTAATTTGTGTATTTTTAGTAGAGACAGGATTTCGCTACATTGGCCAGGCTGATCTTGAACTCCTGACCTCCAGTGATCCACCCACCTCAGCCTCCCAAAGTGCTGGGATTACAGGTGTGAGCCACGGCCCCTGGCCCATCTGGTATTTCTACTGTTTTTTGAGGAACATGCAAAGTGTTCTCCATAGTGGTTGTTCTAATTTACATTCCCACCAACAGCATATGAGGGTTCCTTTTTCTCCACATCATTGACAGCATTTGTTATTGCCTATCTTTTGGATATAGGCCATTTTAACTGGGGTGAAATAATATTTCATTGTAGTTTTGATTTGCATATCTCTGATGATCAGTGATGTTGAGCACCTTTTTATATGCCTGTTTGTCATTTGTATGTCTTCTTTTGAGATATGGTTATTCAAATATTTTGCTCATTTTTTGACCGGATTTTTATACTTTTTACTATATAGTTGTTTGAGCTCCTTATATATTCTGGTTACTAATCCTTTATCAGATAGGTTGTTTGCAAATATTTCCCCCATTCTGGGGCTTGTCTCTTCACTTTTTAAATTGTATCCTCTGCTGTGTAGCAGCTTTTTAACTTGATGTGATCCCATTTGTCCATTCTTGCTTTGGTAGCCTGTGCTTGTGGGGTATTGCTCAATAAATTTTTGCCCAGACCAATGTCCTGGAGATTTTCCTAAATGTTTTCTTTTAGTAGTTTCATAGTTTGAAGTCTTAGATTTAAGTCTTTGATCCACTTTGATTTGATTTTTGTATATGGCGAGAGATAGGGGTCTAGTTTCATTCTACTGTATATGGATATCCAGTTTTCCCAACACCATTTATTGATGAGGCTGTCTTTACGCCAGTATATGTTCTTGGCACCTTTGTCAAAAGAGTTCACTGTAGGAGTGTGGATTTGTTTCTGAGTTCTCTATTCTGTTCTATTGGTCTCTGTGTCTGTTTTTATGCCAGTAGCACATTATTTTGGTTACCATAGCTTTGTAGTAAAATTTGAAGTCAAGTAATGTGATTCCTCCAGTTTTATTCTTTTTTGCTCAGGTTAGCTTTGGCTATTCTCAGTCTTTTGTGGTTCCATATAAATTTTAGGATTGTTT